CTTGGTTACTTTGTGAAAGGGAAAAAAATGCTAACTCTTGTTCTTGTGCAATTTATGACAATTCAAATTCTGTTGACTTTTTAACTGAATATGAGCTCACCAGACGGAGCCCAGCTCAGCTTCTATTAAGCTAACCGTCACAAGGATGTTTACACTGTGCACACTAAATAGAACTTTTACCGTCGTGCTACAATAGCGACATGTGTACATAACCTTCTCTCCTCTTCAGTCCTCACCCTGTTTCTCCCCTCCCCTCAATATCCGCACACCCGATCCCCAAAAAGAAACACCAGCCATCCTTCTCCTTTTTACTTAGGTTCACCATATTGGAGGTTGATTTGGGTCAAACATGGCAGAGTGTCAAAGTTTTTTTTGTTGGTGTTCATACCTTCAATAAAGGAATAACATTATAGGATACTATAAGCATAGATACTACATAGACTTCTTAAGAAGTCTAAAATCAACACCAAAGCCTTGCCTTAATCCCAAATTTCTAGGGTTGGCTCATGGATCATATTCTTCCATTCAATTCTATTAAAGGCTATCTCCTGCATTAACTTAACCACTAAAATTGCTTTCTTAATTGGTCCTAACAAAGTTCTCTTAGGCCTGTCTGTACTCCTTGCTCTCATTAACTATACATCTCATCAATTTTCCTCAATCACACAACAGAGTAAGTTTTTCATCGATCTTTCCACATCAGAAACGATCTTCTGGATAGTAAGTTCAGAGACAAAGGAAGTGTCCAACAATTGTAGATATCTAACTAACTAGGAAAATTAGTCGGTGTGTCGGATAGAAGCATAACTCAAATGAACTGTTCCTGAATTTGGTTTTGAACTTGAATCCGATAAATCAGGACTGATATAATCAGGTCAAATATACCTACATAGATGAGGAGATGAAGGGAAGGGGTGTTGTTCAAAACTGGAGGCGCGATCCAATCTTAAAGACTCCACGGCAATCCAATCTCAAGAACCTATCACCTAAGCAGTAAACTAGCCTAGATCGTGATTTGAACACATCACGATCTACATATAGAAAAAATTATATCGTTTTGCAGTTTTTAATCATTATTTTACCTATGCGTAGAAGGGACGGCTGTTAAGATGCCTGAAAAGTCAACATATCAACCAACCTAGTTTGATTTATATTCTAGAAGACTCCGAATTATGTGAAAATTTTACCATATATATTTTATGAGCGTTGAACAAGATGGATGGTGCCGATCAAGAATTTGATGAGCCGATTAGTCTAGATCACGATAAGATTTGAGCTCACCATCTCACAATATCTATATCAAATAAAGTAAACTATATTGATACGGAGATAACTGAGAATTGGATGCATAATAACACAACAAAGTTTAATGTTTCAAAGGAAAACAACAACAACAACAACCTCAGTTACCTTATTAAGCTCTGTGATCAGAGAGTCATAGTTGCTCACATTGCTGCTAAAACACCGCCCCCTCCAGCGCCGAACTCTCATTTGTTTGAGAAGTACTGAAGCCATCATAGAGCCTGAGCTGAGTTAATGTATCAGACTTTAATAGTAGTGACTGCGCAAAAAAGAACACATTTTTCTGAGAGAAAATATACTGCACACAGCACAAAAAGTAACTATTGAGGAATTTGCCCTTAAATCTAGAGCTGCGAAAATTCAAGATCAATCAACAGATGGCGGGAAAAAAGGGTAAAGTTTCAGTTGATACCCGAGAGATCCCAAACCCTAGCTCGAGAATGAGCAGGAGAAGAGGCAGGAGAAGAAAGTGAAGCAGCAGCAGGTCGCGCTGTAAACGGGCCGGGTTCATGCGAGACCTAAACCACACCCGAAAAGAAAAGGAATCGTGTGGGGTCCAGAGTTGTCTTCGGGAGGCCTTAATAAAATAAAATAAAAAATAAAAACAGCAGCCTCTTCGGTCGCTGACGATAAGTTTTCGACCCAATCCTCCTCTCTTTTCCGATCTCTCTTTCGTTCGTTCGATCGATCGATCGATCTCAGTACTCTCGATGGCGGATCAGCTGACGGACGATCAGATCTCGGAGTTCAAGGAGGCCTTCAGCTTGTTCGACAAGGATGGAGACGGTCAGATCGCCTAGATCCCTTTCTTCTCTCCTTCTCTTTCCTCGATCTGTGTATTTTTTTTTTTGATGAATTTGAGCTGACCTCGCTCTGAATTAGTCTTGAATATGCTTGTTTGCGATTCTTTAGGGTTCGGATTTGTTTGTTGCCATAGAAGTCGTGATTTTTTAGGCTTTATCATGTAGTTAGGGTTTCTTTGATCCTTTACTGATGTTCGAGAACAATTCTTGTTTATTTGGTAGTTAGATTTGGATTCCTTATAAGTATCGTTCAATTGTTAAAAAAAAAAAAAAAAATTTCTTGTAGTTGATTATTGCTGGATTAAAAATTAAGGTATTTGCGTATATTCCATCCAAATCCACCGATATTTGCAAATTTACCCTCCTAATCTACGTGTTTACTAATTTCCCCTCGATTCTCTCACGTTGGAGAAAAATACTCCTCTTTTCGTAAATGGGGAGGGGTATTTTTTCTTCCAATGTCGGAGACTTGAGGGTAAATTGGCAAATATCTAGATTTGAGGGTAATTTGCAAATATGGTAGATTCGGGGGACATATATGCACAAAAACCAAAAGGATTAGCTGTAGTTAATTACCCAAGTCCTATGGTACTTCAGCCCTCCAGTAATCGAAGTGTAATGATTGGATCTGTGGATCTAAAAAAGTTAATTGGTTTGGCAGGTGGGTACTATGATTATAACTAAAGTCAGATTTATTGATATGACATCCTTCTATGCTTTTTATAAATGTTGTGATTACATCGATGTTGTCCTGAAAAAAGGAGGGAAAGAAAGATTTAAAGGCTTCACATGCCTGATTGTGTAGATGCATTTGTTGAAGGCATGATATATGGAGGATTCATACTTCATAGTTGGAAAAGAACACCTTTTTTTTGAGCTATTGGTAGACTTTTTTCCCCTGCATGGGAGGATAAGGAACAGAAAGTTCGTGTACACTTTATCTTTCTCTTCCCTTGTACTAATTGTCTGATACAAGTTTAAGCTTTGATCATCTTTGAAGATTTTAGTAGTGTTGGTGCTACTTTTGTGGTACCATGCAGTAAGAACCTTATCTAGTTGTATGCTAGTGTACTTAGGTCTCTCTCCTGCTTTATTGCTTGGGAAATAGCGAAGGATATTCTGTTTGGAGTGAACAAGTTATACAATAATTCTAGACACGAGTTACTTGAGGTTCTTACTGTGATTATTTTTGCTCTTATGTCTGAGATTCAGCTTGCAGTAGTTCACTTATGTACTTCCCATTGATTAATTCATATGCATCTGGCGAAGTGTCTTTGTAGATGTAAGAACTTTGTACAAGTGATGAATCAAATAACCCTTAGATTACAGTATTTCTGAAGGTTCAACATGGTTACCCTTTTATATACTTCTCAGCAGAGGGGGAAATTTTGGATATCTGCCAAAGAATGGAACCTGCATGCATGCTTTTTTCCAAGCTGATGTTATGGAATTTTGATTATGCATCTTTAATTTATTATTCATTTTTTCCACATCGGTCCTGGTTTATAAGCTGAAACATACACTTGTAAGAAGGTTGTGTTTATGAGTATTTTTCCCACTTATGGATCTTTGGTCATTTTCAAACCTAACTGTTCTGGGTTTAACCTGATTTCCATTATGAATTACTTCTCTGTTTGCCATAGGGCTGCAATTAATATTCAGAATATCCAAATCCATTTTGTATATGCATCATTTTTAAGAAATAGTAATCAGTATCTTCACCATTTGGCATCATTTTTGTTCACTGTTCAATGAAAAGCGGAGTCATTGTGGATATTCTGCTATATTCTCCATTTAATATATTCTCCATATGGAAGTAAAATACAATATTTTACATATTTTATTACTACACTTCATATGCAAAAAATGTCAGATATAATTATTATAAGTGCTTCTTAATTTATTATAGCAGTATACACTTTTAAAATTTTTTACTTAAGTACCAATTTATATTAGCTTATGCATTCAAAATATCTGAATTTGCAAATCTAGTCTTATCATGCCAGATGGTTCAGATTTCTGAAGAAATAGCCCAAGTCAACCAGATGGAGTTACGATCTAGCAAGAAATTACCTCCCGTTCCGAATTATGGTCAAAATCTTGTGCAAGAGTTGTCTCAGTCTAAGAATAGATCATCCCCAAATCCTGAAAGTCCCGTCCAGGATCATGGTCTATTGCAAAATCAAAACCCTGGGGGGCGTCCCTATAGACCGAGGTGCTGGGGGCACCCTCTCGAGCCAAAACGTAGTTACCCAACGGGGGAGACCATGAACGTTTGACCAGCGAGATGATTCCTCACCTTCCTAAGGATAAAGAGCGTCAGATTTATTAGAATGCTTTTATTCACTATTTTTTTGGTACTGATTCGGTGCGGGAATAGACCTCCTTCTATCTGCGAAAAAACCTACTATTTCTAATATGTTTTTCTCTATTTGGGAAAGTCAAAGGAGTCAAGCTCGCAAACCAGACTTCCAATAATATATATTTTTATTAGCTTATATTAGTATGAACTAGTTGCGATTGGGCATGGGCTGCAATTGATTTTAAAAATATCCAAATCTGTTTCTTTTCTGCATCATTTGAAGCAATAAAGATCCCAGTAATGAAGTTCTTCACCATTTAGTATTTGGTGCATTTACTATCCAATAATAAGTGGAGCCAATGCGGACGTTGTGTTATAATCTTCATTCAACATTTTCTTCATATGTGATTAGTTTATATACATCATTAGTACTACATATATGCGCTAAACACTATGTATAATTAGTACAAGTGCTTCTTAAAGTATACTCTTTGAATGTGCTATGTGAGAACTGGTTTTCTTATTTCATATAGAACTTGTTGCTGTTTTGAAAATTCTTTTATACATTAGTTCGTATAGAACTTCTTGCTGTTTTAAAATTCTTTTTATACTCTATATATACTTTGGGACATTTTGGATAGTATTCATCAAATTCGACGCAATACTATTCTTATGTATTCAACAGATAATAAAGTAAATTCCGGTGGAGAATTGCAGAAAGAGATCACTTTTGCAAAAAAGACTGTGGCCTAACTGGTGGAAGATTTTTTCCTTCCGGAAAGTGAGACATTATCGCAAATACAGTTGCAGAAGTGTACGAATACAATGAACAAACAAGTGCATCTTATAATACAACTATCTTTTGCAAATTACAATTGACTTTGCGAATTTTCTACGAACTTAACAGCCTGTATGTGAAAACCACAAATTAACATTATTTATTTCTTCTTCCAGTATTATATTTTAAAGTGAGGTTTCCCTAAGAAGTTCCAGCATGTAAATATTTATGGTTTCACCTTGCTCGTCTTTGAAAACTTGTTTCTATGAGGTGTTTAGGTTGGGCTTTTTTGTTATGATGTCATGTATAGTAGGTATAATACGGCGAATGATAAGTGACTCTTCTTAAATTTTTTTCGTCTACAGCTAGAAGTTCAGGTATTTTGACTCTTCTTAAATTTTTTTCGTCTACAGCTAGAAGTTCAGGTATTTGGAAAATAAATATTCTAACGATGTGGAAGAATTTCTTCATGGAATTGGTTAGGTCCCTTTATTCTGAAAATCTGAACCAACACTGAAGGAAATAAGATCAGTTCTTGGTTGGACTGGGTTCTTCTACCTTAGTACGTGCGAGAATATATTTAATGAAATTAAAGCTGCGAATATGCTATTAAGATGATATACGATCAGTTATAAATGTCCTATCCTGTGAGAAATTGGGAATCATCTTGGTGGTAAATACTCTAATTTAATATTAATTGGATAGACATGTATACCGGAATATTATACCAACACCGAGGCTATAATCCATGACATCCTACTGTTTTCCACCCAAAGGCAGTGGGCATATGTGCTTATCTTCCAAGAAACAAGGAATGTTAAATGTGCAATCACAATCTTTACAAACGGAAATAAATTACTGGATTCCTACTTATTCTAGTTTGGAGATAGTTACATTTCAGCCATGTATAATGCATTTGTCTTGATAACTATAAATGATAAGGTTCCTAGGATAAATAAATGATGCTACATTTCGTGGATTGCAAATTTCTAATGACCTGTGCTGTTAGTGTATGCATACAACACTTTCTGGGATTTTGTAGTTGGATAAGCACACATCTGTTGTCATCTCCCTGCCCATCATTGTAGTCTCCATTATGCTAATTTCGTCACTTGAGCATAATTTGGCAAGGGGGAAAATTGGATATCTGGGAGTTCCCTGAAGTTCGAGGGGCATAGCTAGATAAATATTAGAACTAACTCTGTTTACTTTAACTACAAATAGGAATTAGACAGTGGAAGCTGATGATTTGTTTAGTAGTCAAACAATGGATTTCAAGTGTCAGGGTAAATGATTCAAATGAAAGAGTTGTTCTAGGAATTAATAGTAAGAAGGAAATGGATAAAATAACATCAGAAATGCAAAATTTATGATAGACCAGGACTTATAGCTAATATTTGCCGCTTTCTTAAAAGAAAGTTCAGAAGGTTGTCTGTCCATGGTTGAGTGAAGCTGTTATAGTTGTAGGAAGTTGGCTTCTGTGTGAATAACTGATGATCTGGATATCCTGTCCTATTGGGATTCATTTGTTTAGTTGTTTTCACAAATCAGCGTACATAAAGGTACGTCAATCCAGATTTATATCAGGTCACATGAAGATTCTTTCTATTGATGTAGTCAGAA